AATGTCCCAGAACCTCATTTTCCTAGCTCACAACCCATATTGTAAGACGTATCATTCTGTTAAAAGGTATGCATCTAAACATCCAAATATATTACCACTTATGTGTGTCTAGTAAAAGTATCAAAAAAAAAAAAAAAAAAAAATAATTTCGACCATTTCGATCATTTCGACTTTATATATAGTTACAACCTTCGTTGATTTGAAAGCAGGAGAAAACGCTCAATCTCAGACAATATTTTTAAAAATAAAATTATTAAAAAAAATAAAAAAATAAAAATTAATGCTGAGTAAGGCGAAAATGGGATTTCTGGAACAAAAATTCAAAAAATATCCAAAAAGGTCCATGAATCCATTTTAGCTATGATGCACGCAGTCTAAAGCCACCACTTTTATTTCGTAGCCAAATTTTAATAAAATCATGTAAAATGATTTTATTGGTCAATACTTTATATCACATGATATCAATTTAATAGACAATAGTTTTATTATTAAAAAATTAAAAATTCACCATATTTTCAGGAATTCTCTGATGCAATTTATATTGTTTTACGGCATATAAAGCTGCAGTGCCTATTAAACCTTTTCTATATGCGTCCATAAATCTTCAAGAATGATGGGTATATCGTCTAATTCATTCTAAGGAAACATAATTTAAGGCTTTTAGAACAGTTTTTTCAATGACTTAAATGAATAATTACAATTATTACGAGCATATTGTTTAGTAGCATCCCAAAACATTTCTATAAAGTTGAGTTTACAATAGAATTTTGGATAAAATATCACCTTATGACCCCGATTTCAATAATCTCATTAATTAATAGTTTTTGTGCTAAAAAATCTGGTTGAAGAGAAAGCATATGAACTGCATAACAATTTTCTAAAACATGTGAGTATTTTTTACATTCATCACAAATACGTCTTAATTAACTTTGAGACCATAATCCGCGTTCTTCTAAAATTAACTTGATACCTTTTAGCTGTTTATTTAGAAAATGTATTGACTATACTGATCCATTAGGCATTAATCTATCTTTAAATTTCCCTTTACCACCAGGTTTAAGATTCATTCGTGAAGTAATAAGTGCATCTTCAGCATCTTCAGCATATGCTACATGACTTGTTGCATTATCAAATGCAAATACACTAATATCATCAGGATGTAATTCTTCAAATATGGGGATTGCCTTTTCAGTTATCTAATATTAAAGGTAATTGATAAAAAAGTTTTAAAAATAAAAATAAATAATATTATCTGTTTAATTAAATCATCTGTTTTTTATCATCCATCAAGATTTGTTCCTAATTTTATTATAACACATGCTTCTTTTTCTTCAGTTTTTAGATGTCTATCAACCTTCGTAAAAAAATCACTAACATTAAACTAAGCCCTACTCCTTTTTTCTGAAGTAGTTGATGTCTAACAGATCCCCAAAAAGTTTTTTTCTCATCGTTAGCATAAAAGGTAGATTCGTCATGTATTATGAATATATGATATTTTTCATTTACATTTAAAATAGGTTTTTCTAAAACTATTATATTATCATTTAACGGTTTTGACATCCATTTTTCCAATTCAAAAATTTTATTTAAAAAATGTTTCCTATATTTAATTACATCTGGTCTTTTATGACTATCATAATAAACATTTTTTTTATAACACGAAATTTCCATCTAAAATGTTTTAACCAAACACAAGTTGTATTTTTAAAGATTTTTTTTTTTCAATTCTCATACTTGAAAATACTTCTTGTTCAATGTAAGTTTTAAATCCACTTACTGTTACATTACAACTAATACTTCTGTAATCATTTGATGAATATCTTCATCATCTAATAAACTTTTTATTTTCTGATGTTTTCACGCATTGATATTGGAATCTGATGATGAATAATAAAATTTTGGATTTATGATCTAATTAGTCAGGCTTGATAATCTCCTTTTCCAATGCTAACTGCAAGAGTTTTATTTGCATCTATACTTTTAAGTCCTTTTAATCATAAGTTAATATATTGCATTATAAGTTATAATCAGTTTTTAACTTGCAAATCCAGAGACTTATCAACAACTAATCTTTTTACATTCTCTAATGCTAATTCAAAATTCTCTTATTCTTGATCTCTTTCAAGTTATCTTAACTTATCTGTAAGTTCTTTTGTAGATTGATATAATATCTATTAACGTGATTGAAGTATGGGAAAAAAGGTATTGAATTTAGAGATTCTAGCTGTTACAATTTTATTAACTGAGTTTTTGTGTCGCTATGTTCTTTCTGAATTTCCAATATAAACTAGTGGATAATTATTTGTAAATGCTGATGGATCTTTTGCATTTTCAATCATAACATCAAAAACAGTTTGTAAAATTTGTTTTAAATCATTTTCAAGTTCATCATCATGCTAATTATCATCAGAATCATGATAATCTGACAATTCATTATCATTATCACTGTTTACAATTATTAACCAAGCTTCATTAATTACATTTTTTGCTTTTAAAGCTTTACTGTTTTGAGCAACTGCAAGCTGAACCTTTCATTTCTTTAGTGGCATTTTTAATTTATAAAAAGATGATGATAATCTGCAAATGCAGATTATCACAAGTAAAATAAATAAAAATTCTTGTGCTAAATAAAAATTTGATCAATTTGAATTCTTAATTCTGGCTAGCTTGTAAATTTTGGCCTGCATTATATTAATGCTAAACCGGCCAAATTTATATCCAAAATTAGTAAAGTTACTGAAATTTAAACTTATATAACTTATGCTACAGTAATTTGTTTTGAAAAAACTTTCTGTTATATAAAAGAGTATTGTTTAAACTACAATTTTACAGAAAATTTTTTAAATATTTATTAATTAAAATTTTTTTTCTATCAATTTAAAATCATATGATAAAAAATGGTGGCTTTAGACTGTAGGCATTATATATGAATCAAATTATTGAATTCAAGTCTCTAGCGTAATTTAACTCAAATATAGATGATGATATCGAACTTAGCTAGAAATTAGCCTTCAGATACCAAAAATTATACTGTTTGATTTAACCATTCTAGCCTGATTTTAATCCCAAATAATATTTCAAAAAAATTTTTACTATTTTGTTTGCCTCAGGAGGGGCCATCGAAAATCAAGAAATAAAGTGACGTGATTTGAGCTGGGCCTGACATTGAAAATCCAATATGAATAATAACTTTTATGCTATTCTGCTTGCCTCTAGAGGAACTATCAAAATCAAGGAACAAAGTGACATGATTTGAGCTGAGCCTGACTATGCAAGCCTAAAATGCATATCAAATTTCATGATATTCTAGAATAAATTCTAAAGCAGATTCATATTTATCTAACAAGATCATAATTTCAGTATCCACATTGATGTAAGTACTAAAATTCTATATGTTGTTACGTCTGATTTGTAACTCAAATAAAATTCACAAAAATTGATAATGCTAAGACTAAACTCAGAGAATCACAACAAAGATTCGTAGTAAACATCAAAGATTATTCTCAATTAAACACAATAACTTCTGGATATTTCAGAGATTACGTTTTAGTGACTACACCTTAAGTCAATACAATGAATC